ACCCAATCATTTGCCTATCGAGCCACCTGGGCCTCAACCAGGGGCTCCATTTTTGACATTCTCCTGCCCTCTCTCATCTTGCCTAGCTTTTTTACATATCTCCAAAAGACGTAATTGAATTAAATAAAGCGTCTCAGGGCAGCTGCAACATCTGCTGTTTGTGGTGTGTCAAGCCTTCAGCATTAAAAACAGTTACATACGCTCCAAATTAGCAGGTCGCCGAGAAGAAACAGTCGATGATAGTGTTTTGCGCCAGCGTGAGAAGCAGCTCACAGCTGTGTGCAATTTACAATTAAAGGCTTTATCAGAGCTCGATTGTACTAGTGAATCGCGTGGCGAGAGGTCAGTTAGTGAATTAGACCAATTAGAGCTTGTACAGTTAAATTATCTGTCTTATTACCTACTGATAAACAGCCTTGTCATATCTCTACTGAAACGATGAAGCCAAACGAGTTTTATGAAGTGGTCGGACGGGACCGCTGCTGTGGAACTTAGTGTTTGTGAATTCAAACCCTGTAGCAGGAAAATGAATTTATTTTACCCTCTGGGATGACTATAAACTTGGAATAACTTAGACTACTTCAAAGTAAGTAGCTTATACCTGCTTAGAACCCATCTAGATATGAAATTTTCAAAGGAGTGCTTTGTGGCTGAATAAAAGGGCACCTCATTTGTTTATTTTTAAAGTCTTTTTTTTTAATTTTAAGAATTAACTTCAACGAGAATTAAGAACTTAACAAACTGTTCCAGGAAAATCGAAAGCACCATGTATTTCCAAACCATGCAGCAATGTATTTCCTCTTGAAATTCAAAGTCATCAATTATTCTGAGTCAAAGAAAGGGGTTGGAGGAGTTGAATTATCTCAGCCAGCACTGGCCAAAGGTGCCACAACCACTTTCATGGTTCTGTACCTGAGGGTATGAATCAGTGACTTCAAGACTGTTCAGATGTACCTACTCTAAGAAAGCCATTGTGAGTTCACATCACAGAGTTTCAGCACAAGATCATCTTCTGTAGTCTCAGGCTTCCTAGGATGAGCCTCCTGTAAGAGGCTTGTTCCTACAGGTAGCATTGACTGGGCAGATCTTTGGTATCAATCAGACTGAAAAGCTGGACATAATATCCCTAAACTCATACTCGAGTCAATCGTCAACAATTGGCTTGGACCATACATCTTAAATAACACAAATTCAAGTCTTTTAGCCTACTTTTTCCTAGAGCAAGAATTCAAAACTTAATTCTTTTGTGTTTTGGGGAATTGCAATATAATTATTAATAAATTCCCTTCCCTTTCCTCCTTCCAAACCAAGCATGTATCACCATCCTACATTTTCAAATTTATGTTCTCTTTTATTTTAATTGTTGTTACACATGTATACTTCCAAATATATATATGTATATATATACATATATATATATATGCTATTAGTCTGTGAAATGATAGTTGCATGTAATTCTTTTAGGGATATTATTTATTATTACATATTCAATTGGTATTCTCTTCCCTAGAGAAGACTATTTCTCTCACTATGAGAACAGCCAAGGAGTTGGTTTTTGTTTTTTGTTTTTTTTTTTTTTGTATTGGATAATACTCATATGAGAAATTGTTTGAAACAGTGTTTGTAAACCTAGTCACTCTTTAACAATTGTTTCATTCTTGTATTTATTTTGCTAACCTTCCTTTCATAAGTATATGGAAACAATTTATTCACATAAATAGGGCAGTTCTTGTTGCCTTGTAGCAGGTGTCTATTTGGGAACAGAATAGACTAGCTCCAGGACTGAAGGCCATGCTGAGCATGTTCTATAACACATATGGCCAGAGACCCAGTGTCAGTCTCTAAAGAAACCCAACACTGTTTCAGAACTAAGAACATCTCATTTGTGAAGTTGACTCTAATCATTATGGGTCAATTACAATTTTAAAAATGCAAAAATAAAGCTATACACTCTACAACTTTCAATGTTGTATATACATATTCAGTGCTAGTAATATATATGTACCATTAGAAAAACAAAGTAATGGAACAAAATGTCAATTTGAAAATAAATAGTATATATATGATTGCAAGTACATGCACAAACATTGTAGACAATCATAGAAACAGAAATTAGAACACAGATTAGATGCTATCTTTTATACAATATGTCAGTTTATGTAGTAATAATACTCAACTAGGGCTTTACACAAGGAATTTTTATTGCATTTCTTTTCTATTTGTTGTATTTTTAATTAATGTATAGTTCCACCATTGCCATCTACTTCTCCCTCAACTCCTCCCATGCCCTCTTCCCTTGTATTTCTTGAATAAATAAAAAACTATTTTGTAAAATATTTAGCAAGGTTTATTAAAAAGCCACGACTCTTTGATAAATTGTGGTTCAGACATCCTGCTTTGATTAGTTTTCCTCATTCAATGATATCAGTCTGGAGACAACAATGCACTAGATGATGATAGACTAGAACCTGCTCCAGGAAACTGCTGGTCACCATTAGCAGTTGTACCACTATCTATATAGACTAAGAAAATGACCACGTGTTGCTACGCTTTCAAAAGATGGAAGATATTTTGGTACATTGCATTTTCAAAAGGATTATGGTAAAATAATGTTAAGATACGTATGTAATTGATAAGAAAACACTGTGTACCTATGTTCTATTAGTATGAGAATAACTGATAAACATTTTCTTCTTTTATGCTATTTCTTTCTACATTTTAACTATCTATTTATTTAGTCATTTACTTTAGTTAATTAGTTAAGATCTTGTTCTACAGCTCGGTGTGACCTTGAACTCATGGCGATTCTCCTGCCTTAGGTTTCCAAGTGCTGGAATTAGAGGCACAACTAGGTTCCTTACAAAAATAAAAAAATAATTACAGGAAAATGTGGAAGGGAATTTGGGTTTCTAAGAGATAAAAAACATTTTTGTGAGAAACTAGGTCTTGGGTGATGGGGAAAAGTTAATTTCCATCTTTAACTTTTCCATATAAGCATGCCAATAGTGCTTCTGTCTGGCAACTGTTGTATGCCGCTTTCCTCCAAGTGTGTGTGGGGGAAATGTGGATTTGGAGGATTTTACAAGTTAATAAAATTCTTCACTTTGTTTTGATGTTGTTTTATTTTTGGGTGTTGTTTTTTACTGAAGTAAATTTGAGTTTTGGTACTTTTAAACACTCTGATGTGCCTATGTTTGGCTTGCTAAATGGGTTCAGCATTTCTCTAGTGGGAATTACTATCACAAAGTTTTTATTAAAAAGAATATACAATGATGTTTACAAAAAGGAAATTAACTCAACTTTCCGACTGTAACACAAATCTCTCTTGTTAGCTATCAAACTAATTGAGCTATGTATATTAAGATTTACAAGTAAGATCGTAATGTTCATTCTAGTGAGACCACATGATGCTTAACCGCCTCAGAGAAATCAATAGGTTGAGATATTAAAAGAAAATGCTATCATTTCATGCTCTTGTGCCATTCAAAAAACCACAGATAATGCATAATCACTTTGATGATGCCAATATAAAGCTTTGTTTAGTTTCATAATGTATTTTGTAGGTTGGAAAATGTTTGAAACTAAGCTGAGAGGAATTGGATAATTTTCAGCTCATGTTCTTTATGACCTAAGAATCTCTACTTAAGTGAGCTATGGACCAAAAGGTGGAAGAAAAATGGTAACTTAAGATGATGATTGGGTATAAAATGAGTTTTTCAACTGTTTCTCCCTTAATTCTGTTACTAATGCCTTGGATAAGCAGGTGTTCCAGTGTTGTGCACCTGCTTACTAAAGCCATTACACCTTATGACGGACTGAATGAGGTCACTTGACTGGGATAACTGCTTAGTGAAGACAGACACCAAAAAGCAATCCCACACTAGCCGAGAAATGAGTACAATAGATGGTTATTTATTTAGGGGTAGGCCCACAGATCAGAGTCCTCTGTTTGAATGGAAAAACAGCAACCGAATCCAGCAGCTGGAAGAGAGAGGGAGGAGCGCTTTACTTTGGCATTTATAGTATAAGAGACCACGCCCAAGTGGGCGGGTAACTTAATGGCTACTGGCTGAAGGATTTCCTACAGCACTTCAGTATTTCCTTTTCAATCTCTGTCTATCCCTCAAGTTAAATGTGTCTTTGGTAGGTGTCCTGTTTTTGAAATTTCTTTTTTGTAACTGGGTAGCCACTGTGTCTTTTGATAAAATAATCTAATCTGTTTGTGTTTAAAGTTATCAATATGTAAGGGTTTACTGTTATTCCTTTCTTAATTGCTTACTAGTTGTTGTCTTGTGTCCCACAGGTAAATTGAATTAGATCTCTTTAATGAATGCTGAATTTTGAGTATTGGCATTTTGTGGATGGTTCTGCATGTATGTTTCTCAGTGATATGATACCTTCCCACAGCTCAGACTCGGTGTCTTCACCCAGCTTTTGTACGGTGATAATGCTGGCACAGTAAAATTATTTTGGAAATAGTCCGTTATACTTAACTGAATATAAAGGCTTAAAAAGTGTGTTCTGTCTCTAAATCTTTGGATAAAACCAGTAGTAAAGTCATCAGAAACTATTTTGTCTTTGCTGCAAGGTTTTGATCAACAGATTCAACTTTCTTACTTGTTATTACATTTTCAGACACCATTTCTTCATGACTCACTCATTTGATATGCTGCCTGATGCTTATAACTTATCTCTTTTTACTATGTTTTATAATTATCAAAACAAAATAATTCACAGTCCACACCTATCTTTGTATTTCTTTAGAATTTACACTTATGTTTCCTTTCTAATTTTCATCATTTAAGACTTCTCTTTTCTTATTTATTTTCAGGGTTTTCTAAATTTTTAGTCTTAAAAACTCATATATTTATTTATTCCTTTAGAATTTTTTGGATGTACTTTAATTCTTTTAACCCCTACCCCATTTTCAACTCCTCCCAGACTTCACATAGTCTGTCTACAGTCCACTAAGTCCAGTCTCTTTTGTCCCTATGTATATAGGAACATCTACTGGATGATAGACAACCCATCATGAGCCACTTTCTTGAAGAAAACTTACTCTTCCAATCCTAGCAGCCTGCAGCTGCCAATGCTCCTCTGCCAATCCATCTGCTAGAGGTATGACTGGCTTCAGTTTGTGTAGAACTTGTAAGGCAACATCTAAAGTTGTTGTGTCCTCATGAATGCTGTGTCTCTGTCACATTCAGAAGTCAATGTTTTGAAACATTTCTCTCCAATTTTAATTTCTACAATGTTTCCACTGTCAATTCTGCAATCTTCTCTCATTCAAGGGAAAATGGCTTGCAATAGATGCCTTGTTTAGCATTGAATACTCCATAGTTACTCATTTTGTGCACCAAGACCAACTGTAGGTTTTGAGTGATTACAAAAAGAATCTTCTCTGATGAAGGTTGAAAGCTGCTTTCCTCTGTGTCTATAAGGTTATGTATTCCAAGGTCATTTTGATATTATTATGCTCATTCAGACAGCAGACAATAGTAGGGTCTCTGTGGGGTGGACAGTCTTTCCAGACATGGATTCTTGACCAGGTTACAGTACCAGACATGAGCTCAGCACTAGGAATTAGGCCTGAAATCATCCCAAGAGGAATTGATTAGTGATCACCCTCACAGCTTTCATGCCACTCTTTCACCAATTTGTATTTCTTGCCACCCACAAGCATGGAACAATATATTAAACAAAATACTAACCTATCAAAGTAGAAGCAAAACAGTCACACCCCATGAATCCTTTGACCTTTGATTGCCAACACGAAAGGATTTGCAATCAGCTAGGGAAAACCTTCTGGGCATGTGTTAGGGATTGTATAGAACGTGTTAAATGGAGTATATATGTGAGCCCAGATTGGGCTATTCTTTAGACATGCCTAGAGGGATTATATAAACTAGAATAGCTCCTAGGCATGCCTGTGAGGGATGACCTAGATTAGAGTAGCCTCTGGGCATGCCTTTAAGGATTCATCTTGATTAGGATAGCCTCTGGGTTTGCCTTCGAGGGCTTATCTACATTAGGTTAACATTTTGGCACAACTGTGAGAGATTATGTAGATTAAGTTAGCCTCTGGGCGTGCTGTTGAAGTCTTATTTAGATTATGACAGCCTCTGAGCTCCAAAGTTATCTGTGAAGGATCTTCTTCCCAGAGCTGGTGTGGGAAGACTCACTTTTATTGAGTGGCACCATTCCACTGGCTAGGGTCTCCATTAGCATTCATCTCCTTCTGCTTCTTGACCCTGCTTGAAATGAGAAGAGGTGCTCTAAATCTCATTTCATGACTTTTCCAGCTTCATATGTTTTTGTCAGTGTATTCCTTCATATCAGCTAGAAAACCAATATACTTTAGAGCTACATACAAGCACGTGATTAAGTGAGCCATTGTTCTTTCCTATCTAATTGCTTGGTAAAGTGTTTTTGTACAAACTATGATGTTCAATGGCACATCTGAAGTACACAGGGGATGTGCTGTGATATGAATACTATTTCAGATGAGGGATAGTATTGGGATAAAGCCAGCAAATACTATGCATTTTCTGCACAATATAGGCAAAAATTATGAGGTGCATTACAATGATTCAAATTTTATCTTTGTTGGTTGGGTATAGCCTATGTTGTCAGTGGTAGTAGAAGATGTCAGCTACAGAGTAGCCAATAGATGAGGGAGCCGGACTCTACACACTCATTCTGCTAGTGGTTCGGCGGATGCTTAGCGCGTATAACATCTTTTGTAACCTTATGTTGGGGATCTTCATTATGGATGTTCTCCAAACTGTAGGCATACTTCCTGGTTCTATCACGTATGTTTCTGTAAAACTAAGAAAGGAATTATGCATTATACCTATATTTTAAAAGCTAAAAGGTAGACTATTACTATTATATCTAAAGAATGAAGATTGATAGTTCAATATGTTATTAGCCAGAAAATATGAAAATTTTTGAGGGTTATTGATATGTATTTTCATGGAAAGTATATAGTTCATCATTTCAATGTCCTGGTAACCAGTTGTCTGTCTTTTTAAATGGTTCATTTTAAATTGTTCTATAACTAACTTATCTAATCTTACAAACAATAAAAATTAAAAGTAATAACTAATTTTATTTTTATAACTATTTAAAGTACAGTTATAATTTTAACTCTCTCAACAGGACTGTAAAAGATACAGATAATTAATAACTATATTATACTAATGAGGAAATAGTGGTCCCCCAATATAAAGTGGAAACTTGCCTCAAATATAAACAATGCTTGGTACCAGTTAAAGAAGGCGGGACAGATTTAAATCGGTAATACCTACTGTAATCAGGTAAAGAGTGTGAGCCGCACTCAGCTCGGCTACACCGAGCCAGGGAGACAGGAGGGTGGATGGAGCACTGGAGATTCTTAGAACTAAAATATTACAAAAGGTTAGTCATTATAAACAGGATTAGGCCAGCTGTGTCTGCTTGCTGGCAAGTATCAAAAGTGCGACTAGGCAACGGTAGACCTGTCATCAGGTGCTGGCTCGAACCTGCCTGACTTTTGGCAATTTTGAGTTTTTTTTCTGGCTGGCATTCTAAGTAAGAGGAAGGTTGCCATCCTAGGGATCTGGCCTTCAGTGGTTAGAAATGGTGATAATGGTTTTTCAAGTCATTATATACCAAGAGGGCTCTGAACAGGCAGCAAAAAGTTTGGTCAAACAGAAAATCTCTGTTACTTTCTAAGATTCCTTAGCAGGTGACAGAGCCACTTTCAAATAACTAGTAAGGCACTAGTTAATAATACAAGGAAAGAATCCACAGTATTACTGATAGGTGGTCTCTAACCCCACCATCACAGACCATTTATTTATAGAAATCCTTATATATCTTATCTGACATTACCAATCTTCTCAAAAGAGAATTAGGACTGGATACATGAACACAAACAAAAATTATGACTTAAAGGAAACATCTTTGATTTCAGCTCTTTATAACTAAGAAAACTTCAGTTACAGTGACCCAACCCTTAGGAAAGATCTATGTTGTAGCAGTCATTATTCGAGGCTCTGAGAACCTAGGATGAGTGAGAAAGTGACTCCATTTTCTGTGGACCTCTTTATCCTCACCACACTGTTGCAAAGGTTCGTAAGTTGGTGTTTTAAATGTGTTCTCCTAAAAATTATTTATACATGTATATATATGTGGATCTTTCCTTGTTTATGCATGTTTTTGCTTTCCTTTTATATAAAATAAAGATAATTTTAAGTTCAATAAGGAACCCCCATTGCAGTGATCTCAGGAATATCCAGATATAGACAAGCGCTTCATATGGCTAAAGAATGGTTGCCTAATACTAGAGTAGCCCAGCCATTCTATTCTGTGAAAACAAAATCTTAATCCTGCAAACATCTGCCAGTTTTAAATATGTAAGATTCTCTCCAGCATATTGGTTAGCTCCTGTAAGAATGTTGGTAACTGTAAGTATATTGGATATGTGTGATTTATTGCCCTGATTACACATCTCTAAAAGTCATTAGTATTCTGAAACAATTTAGTAACTTTTGTTCTTCAACAAAGTACAAAATCATTAGTTTTCTTCTAAACTCAGTTGGGTTAGAAAAATTCATTTGCTTCTTGGGAGGTTCAAGATTGAGGATTCATATTGCACATAAAATATTAATCTTTGGTCCATTATAATTTGCAGCCTTTGTTAATAATGTATTAGATAGGCTTATTTCATAGATATGAATGTATAGATGGGTACACTTTGGGATGTGCTGGTCAGACATGATTCTGAGCTCATTCTCATGCCGAGTCCAATCTAATGCTTATTGGTTTAATGTTCTGAGAAATATGATTTAGTTCATAAAAAAGGTTTTTCAAAGTATGCTTACCCGTATACATGGCTTCAGTAAAGACTGTCTTTCTGATATTGATCAAGCTATCGTCCTTTGGTACACAAATGATTAATTCTCTATTAAATCTTAGGATATGGATAAGCCCCAGGACAATGTTTTTAAACATTCTCAAAATAAAAGTACAACTAAAAACAAATAAATAAATGAACAGAAAACAAGACTCCTCAGCTGCACCGTTGCTAGTGCTCTACTTTCACAACGTAGATAAAGTAGTCTAAGATTTATAAAGCATTTGAATAATTGTAAACAGAAGATTTTGGGCTCCTGTGTTCTCCATATCCTATTCTTTTGAAAGTTAAAAATTAAAGGCTTACAAGAATATATGAAGTTCTTTAATGATAATTCAAATATTGTGTAAATAGTGATTAAAACACCCAGTTTCTACACTAAATGAATTTCATCTTCTGAAGAGAATACTGTAAAGTTGCTGTGTTCAAGTCTAGAATAAATTTGAAATGGTAGCTTATGTGACCTGGGTTTTGGCTTGTAGACATTGTGTGCAACTTGTTTGTAGCCAAAAGGACAGTGGCAGGCAACCTACTCTTTGAATACTGGTCCAATCTGGCTCTAGCCTATTTTATCCTGGTTGTTCTTTCTGTTCCCTCATGCTTAAGATTAAGAATCTCTACTTGCTTGTAACTAACTTCATATCAGGAGCCTACAGGTGGAGTCAGGCAGATTCTTAAGGGTGAGCTTTTCAATGATTCTGATACTCTCTTGTTAATTTCCCCTTATTTATTTGTGTGTATTTGTGTGGGCACAGGTGTGCCATGGCATGCATGTGAACGTTTGAGGACAACTTTCAGGTGTTCCATCCTTCCCCCATGTGGATTGCAGTAATGAAATTCAGGTGGTCAAGCTTGGTGGCAAGTACGTTTACCCATAGAGCTGTTATGCTTTCATTGTGATTCTTGTAACAATCACAACCAACATACAATGGTTCTACATAACTCAACAACACGTAACAGTCCTCATCCTCCAATGAACTTTGCCTAAAATTTATCTTACAGAGTCATGAATGCACTTTTGATTTTCCAACACACATGTTTGATATGACCATCACATGGAATCATGCCAATTCCACTTTAGAGAACATTCACTTTCCTCTTTGTAGACTTAAACTTCCAGGCTAATGGTTCTTTGGAGAAGAGGAGGGGAGAATTACAACTTGTTTTTCTTTTGTGCCATCTCTGCCAGTATGGTTTCTATGACTCCCTCTCATTATGT